AAATTATAATGGCTTGGAAAAGGACAACAGATCTCCACTGCTTCTTATAATGAAAGAATCAAGGTGCACAAAACCAAAATAGCCAGTAGCAAATATAAATAATAAAAATATAAGTGCTTTTTATTGCACAGCAGGTAGTGAAACCATGTAACTCTTTGGCATAAGTGTTAGGGAGACAAAAGCAAGAATGGGTTAAAAAAGTCCTGCTAGATATATTCATTAGTGTGGAAGTTGGCCATGGGACATTTAACTTAAGCCTAGTTAAATTTTGAAGGTGAAAAAATACTCCCAGTCCAAAAAACTGGACTTGATGCTGATGCATCAATAAATAGAATAAAGATTCTTTCATATTTGCCATTTTTCTCAATTTCTTCTTCTAAGTAGCTAGTATTGGCCAGTATGAGAGCTATGATGTCAAGTTAGAGTTGTCTTTATTCTGACTTCGTACAAGAACCCTCTTGTAATTAAAGTAAAAAGGTTGTACAGAAACTGCTGATAAAAAGCATCTTTATGCTGAGAATGGAGACAAGTAAACACAATCTCCAGCTCAGGTACCTTCAGTATGCAATTAAAGTAGCCTCCAAAGAGACAATGGTATTTTTAAGTGCAGAAATTGCATGTCTAGTGCAGAACTACAAAAAAAAAAAAAAAAAAAAAAAAAAAAAAAATCTAGGGTAGGAGGAATCTTATTTAGATCTTCTGTTGCCCAGATATTTGGATGCAGAGTTAACATAAGCTCCTCTGTGAACCATCCTGCTCAGGGCAATTTTGTGAACCAGCTTCCATGCTCAAATACTCTGCTGCATGAGGGAGGAGCTGCTCATGATTTCAAATTAGCTATAAATAAACTGAAGGACATTAAATAAACAAGTCACATACAATCATAGAACAGTTTGGGTTGGAAGGGACCTTTAAAGGTCATCTAGTCCAGCCCCCCTGCAATGAGCAGGGACATCAACTATATCTGGTTGCTCAGAGCCACATACAATCTGACCTTGAATGCTTCCAGATATGGGGCATCTACCAGCCCTCTGGGGAATCTGTGTCTTTTACTACCTACATTGTAAAAAGTTTCCCTTATATCTAATTTAAGTTGACCATCTTTTAAGTTTAAAACTCTCGCCCCTTGGTCTAGCACAACAGACCCTGCAGAAAAGTCCCTCTCCACGGTTCTTGTAGGCCATCTCTAGGGACTGTCAGGCTGCTATATGGCATCCCCAGAGCCTTCTCTTCTCCAGGCTGAACAACCCCAGCTGTCTCAGCTCTTCTCCATATCAGAGATGCTCCAGCTCTAGGACTGTTTTTGTTGCCCTCCTCTGGGACCTGCTCCAACAGGCCCACATCCCTGCTGTGCTGAGGATCCCAGACCTGGTGAGCACTCATGAGAATGGAGTAGAGGGGCAGAATCCCCTCCCTGGCCCTGCTGCCCATGCTGCTTTGGATGCAGCCCAGGGTACAGCTGGGTTTTCTGGGCTGCAAGCACACATTGCTGGGCCATGTCCAGCCTCTCATCCACCAGCACCCCCAAGTCCTTGATGGATGTGATTGAGATTAGCGATTCCGAGGAACAATAACAGATTCTCGTGGAAGAAAAATAGAGCACACACAGTGTTGATTTTGCTAACAGGCCAGGCTTTGTATCAGGTGTAGAAAGCAGATGGCAACAGAAGAAAATCTGAGCTACATGTAGTAGCTGCCACAGGCATGCTCTGAATGCAGTGAGCCAAAACTGCCATAAGAGACAAAAGCTGTTTATATAACTCCATGGAGAAGAAAAAGGAAGCAAAAGATGATCCGAACAGGATGCTGCATTTCAGGACATAAGGTGGGAAGTGTTAGTCACAGCATTAGGCATGCATGTCTTTAATCCAGCAAGAGGAACTGTCTGTGTAAAGGCATTGGCTTTACTTTCTAAAATTGTCTGGTACACTGTGTTTTGAAAGGGTGCAGCGAAAGTTCATGAAATGAGACTTTGAATGGTGGTGTATGTCGTGTCAGATGGAAATGTTAATCTTTCCCTTTACTACTGAATCACAATGAACAACATCTCTCTGAAGTTCTGCAGTCTGGAAATTGTATCAACTACCCTCTTATGAAAACAACATCCAGCTCAGTTCTAGTCACCCAAAGTGGTAGGACACACCACAACTTTTTCTGGTAGCTTGGAAATTGATGAGGTCTGCAAGTGAATAATAATAATAATAATAATAATAATAATAATAATAATAATAATAATAATAATAATAATAAATCTGACAAAATGCAAAAGCATGTGACAGGTAAATTCAGACAATCAAAGTAACAGATTCATGGTTTTAATCCATCTATTTAAAATATTTTATTTCCCAAAGTTTAATATCAAATAAAGATTTGAAGGCAAGAGTTACAAAAATTGTTCAAAATCTGACAACTTACCAATCTTATTGCTAATAAAAATTTCAGCTTGGGGTATAATTAGAGACCAGCATTCTGAATCCAGCAACAATCCAGCTGATTTTTCAGCTTTTTTTAGCTGATTTTGTAGAACTGGCAATGGTACATATACAACCAATAACCTTCTGCAAGTTATATTAAAAATGTGACTTTGACCAGGATATCAGAACTCAAGAATATTTTCTACCTCATATAAGGACAAATCTGATGTCTTTTGACTTCCAGTTGTTGCAGAATGATGCCTTGAGAATGCAAAAAGAAAGAGGGAAAAGCTCAGCACCTCTTCAGCTTCAGAAGTCATGCTTAGGAAAAGTATGGCTTTAGTCAGTTTGTTTATGTCATGACTGTTTTCCTCCATTGTTAATAAAACTGAGATGTGAGTGTCTCTTGCAAAGGCAGTGTGCCCTTTATTCACTTATATAATTCATTGTGCTGGTTTTGACTGTGGTAGAGTTAATTTTCTTCCCAGCACCTAGTACAGAGCTGTGTTTGGATTTCTGCAGAACACAGGACTGATAATACAGAGATGTTTTTGTTATTGCTGAGCAGGGCTTACACAGAGCCAAGGTCTTTTCTGCTTTTTATTTTGCCGCGCTGTCAAGGAGGCTGGGGGTGAAAGGGAGGTTGAGAGGAGACACAGCCAGGAAGGGTGACCCCAACTGACAAAAGGGATATTCCAGACCATATGGCATCATGCTCAGTATATGAAGTGGGGGAAGAATGAGGAGAAGGATCCAGGAGATGGCTGAACACCTGCCTGCCCATGGGAAGCAGTGAATTAATTCCTTGTTTTGCTTTGCTTGCATTCCTGGATTTTGCTTTTTCTATTACACTGTCTTCATCTCAACTCATGAGTTTTTTCACTTTTACCCTTCTTGTTCTTTCCTCAGTTCCACTGGTGGGGGAAGAAGTGAGTGAGTGAGTGAGTGCGTGCGTGAGTGAGTGAGTGAGTGACCGAGTGACTGACTGACTGACTGTGTGGGGCTTGGTGGCAGGCTGGGGTTAAACCATGACATCCATAAATACTTCAGAGAAGTGAGGACCAGTCCCTAAAACTGTTGTGGCTTTTCTCTAGGCCATTTGCCTCAGACTGGTCCACCAGGTGCTCTCTGTTCACTGGAAATGAGGTATGAGTCTGTCATATATTGCAGAGCTGAAGTTACCCAGCCAAAGTAGATCACTGATCACGGACCCCAGGGAAAGGTATTTTTGTTATTTGCTTTCTGCTAAGGGAGCTGAAGCTAAGGGATTTGGGCGGCATTTACAGAAGGAGAAGTCATCCATCCTTCACAGCAACCCAAGAGTGGACATGACTGAACTGATGGACAAGAATGAGCCTCAAACACACATTGACTGAGGACTGAGGAAAGAGACAGAGAGGCTCAGGTTAAAGCGACAGCTTTTACACAACTCATCCTTCTACACAGGAGAGCTGGGATCTGAGCCATTGACAGGTGGAGTCATAAGGCACTTCTGGAGTACTGCTCTCAAAGCACAAAGGAACAGTCACCTTGTGAAGTTAACATGCAAAGCCTGTCTGCCTCCTCACCAACAGATGTGTCACTGCATTTGCAGCTCACAACATTGACCACAGCTCCCTCTTGCAAGGATCAAAATACGTAGAGAGTTTCAGTCTCTCATCTTCATCACCAGCAAAGCTGGTCAGCTTTGCTGTCCTCAGTTTCAGAAAAATAGATCTGATGTAGTGCACTGCCTTGCAAAACTGAGAAATTGTCACATCCCATCACAGAAACAGTGGGTTCTTAAAATGGATATGTCACTGAATAAGACTGAGGTTTCCAGGGACAGAGAACTGCTAACTAGGTTAAAGAAGCAGGCAGGGTTTTTTATTTGCTTATGTCAATAGCAACATATATCATAATCCATAGAAGGCTTTTGTAGATGGCCCTGGTTTGTAAGATACCATTCTGGAATTTGCTGTTCCAGATGGTGAACATCAGAGAAAGGTTCCCTGGGCTTTCTTTTCTGTTATTGAGTATTAGACTGGCTTAAAAAAAAATCTATTTGTGGCAGTCACCCAGCAAGGCATGTTTCATCCTAAACAGCTAAAGAGTTATATAATTACAGTCAACAGAAAGCAGTCTTATCTGGGAAGTGTCAGGCAGACTTACAGGCAGTGATAGGAACTCAGTCCCTGCCACAATATGCTTTTTCATGCTTCTTCTTCTTTTCCTTGCTTTTTCTTTGTAACTTTGTGCCCTGATTTTACACGGATTGGATTAGTTCATTATTAGTCTTCTGTAAAATCAGTGTAGCCTCTGAACTAAAAATACAGATTAAAAGAAAAAAGAAAGGGTTTGCCAACATAATATTAATGTAATGTCAAGACAGCTAAGTTTGGTATATGAAGGCAGTTTTCTTTGGCTATCCAAAATCTTTTCTACAGTAATTGGCTTCTTTCTCACATTTTTGAAGGTTGTATCCCCAATACAGTGCTATACAACTGATGATATATGCTGCTCATAAAGGAGGTGTAACTACAAGAAAAATAGTGCCTAAGCCACACGGGGGGAAAAAATGGCTAAAACATAGCTGCCAGAACTTTCTTAGGCCACTTCATTAAAAATAAAGAGGTGAGTATACTGTAAGAAATCCTTCAAATCAATAAAGCCTAGGCCTCTCACAAACTGCAAAGTCATTGCAATAGGCAAGGCATGGGGAAGATATTTCCCTAGGTGAGCACAAAATAACTTATACAATACAATCTTTAGCAATTGTGGAGGAGGTGTTTTTTAGCAGCTACATTGTCCTAAAGGGAAACCACAGCTCTGGTTTTTGGCATGCTACCTTTGGATTTGGGCCTGTGTGTGTGCTGACTTGCATGGTTATGTGCTTTGCCTTTGAGAAGAGTGGGAAATTGTAACAAGAAGAATAGGGGCTCTGGTAGGTCTTCAGCTCTTTTTCCAGGTGGCTTTGTGAGGGATTACTCAACTGGATGGGGCAGAGCATGGCTGGTGGAAGTGCCTGTGCAAGTGGGCTTGGCCCAGGCAGCTGCTGGTGTCATCTGAACCTCTGCACTTCCTCACTGTCGAGTCCTGGGTATGGAGCAGCCATTCAAGGCAGAAACACACAAAAGTGATGCTCTTACCCACCTCCCATGTGTTGTCTTTATGAAAGACAACCAGGAGCCTGGTTCAGATAAGGCAGCACGGCGGCCTGGTCTCGTCCAAGCCACTCGGGCTAATCAACGCACGCATACACCAATATGGCAGACGGTTGAAAAGCGTTTATTATCCTATTTCGTGGGTTTATATAGGTTTAGGAGTCTTTGCTACGTCAGAGGGGGGTTTGGGGTCTCGGAGGATAGTGGGTAGTGGAATTTTACCAGAACAGGTGTGGCTACATTCTTTTCTGACTCCTGGGGTAGCAGATAAGCAGGGGAGAGAGAAGGGGGGAAGGGGCCTATCTTTCCGTGACATTCCGGTAATCTTCCGCTTCGCCTGTCCCTATCTTACCACATCTCCCCCCTCCTTATCATATACAAAATGAGGTAGTTGTAGATAGAGGCATTGAAGTGAGGTACAGACTTGTAACTTGTTAAGGAAAGGGTGGTTTAGTAGATCAGGGTAGATTTTTTAAGGCAGGTGCTGAAGGCTTTAGCTACTGACTGTGTTTGCAGTTTTTTGGTTTATAGCATTTGTTGGTGGCCTACGAACAGAATGTTTGCCCTTTCCAGACGGGCCTGAACAAACGAGACTAGTTTGTTCAGCAGGCATGGTCCTATGGTAATAGCCAAAAGCAGTATTGCCAGTGGACCTACCAGGGCAGAAATTAAAGTGGTGAGCCAAGGTGATTGATTGAACCAGGATTCAAACCAGCTCTGCTGGGTCTCCCTGTCTCTCTTTCTCTGAGCCAGTCTGTCTCGGAGTTCTGCCATGGAGTCTTTAACGACTCCTGTATGATCTGCATAAAAGCAGCATTCCTCCTTCAAAGCTGCACACAATCCTCCCTGCTGCATAAACAAAAGGTCAAGTCCTCGCCTATTTTGTAAGACTACTTCTGAAAGTGAAGAGACTGACTTCTCCAGATAGGAGATGGATTTCTCGATCCTCTGCAGGTCCTCGTCGATGGTCATTTGCAGCTGGGAGAGTCCGTGTTGCTGGGTCGCGATGGCTGAGACGCCCGTGGCGGTGCCAGCTGCTCCCAAGCCGAGCAGCATTGCGATAGTTATACCTGTGATTATTTCCCTTTTGTGGAGTCTGTTAGGTTCCTCGAGAAGATGGTATATTTCTTCGTCTGAGTGGTACAAAACCCTGGGGACAATCAGAACTTGGACACAGAAATCAGTAGAATCATTGAATTTGTCAAGGAACACACAAGGACTCACTCCGGACCTTTGGCAAACCCACATCCCAGACGCAGATGGGATCACCCACTTGCTAGTTTTTCTGTTGGGCTTGGCAACTTTAGTGCAGAAGTTGCCTTTCTGCTTCGCTAAGGTTGCACTCCCAAAACATCTGCCCTGTCCTGTGATTTGACTCAGGGTGATTCCTCTGCGGGGAGTGTCCCATCTGCACTGGTGAGGGGCGCTGGCCGAGGAGTAACTGAAGGGGGTGTCTAAAGCAATGCCTTCATAGAAAGGGGGTTTGATATCATAGCAAAGCCAACAGGGGTTAGTTAGGTTCGGTTTGGTTTCGTTTAGGGTTAAAAAGGTAGCTTCTAGCATACGAAAGATTGGGTTTGGGTCTGACTCAGCCATGCGGCCTATCTGGGGGGTATCTGCAAGGCCGGTCGGGGTGTCAGTGGCTTTTGGGGTCAGGGTTTTGAGGTGGGTTGTGTTTTTCCCTCCCAGCACATTCCTGATAATTTTGTTGGGTCCCACTGGTCGAGGCGTTGGCGGCTGGAGCCTGATAATTCTCACATTCACCCACCTCCTCGGTCCTTTGAGGACCACTGTCCACGTTCTACCCGTGGCCCAGCTAGGGTGATCTGGCTGTAGGACAGTCATGTTATAACTTACGCATGCCCGTTGTCTAGGCTGTGCAGTGTGGTCTCCGCAGCCAAAGGGTGCCCAGGTGAACTGTAAGAATCTGTCGGGCTCCTGTGGTTGCCACCCGTCTGCCCATGGTCTGGCATCTGTAACAATGGTTTCGCAACCCCAATACCCACAATGTCCCCATCCCGGGTAGTCACAGTACCTTTTCCCTGGGTTGGACGCTGGGCACCAATAGGATATGTACATGAGTACGATACGTGGGTTTATGGGCCGTGTTTTCGGTTGCCCTGGAAACAGATCGGCTATATGGAATACGAAGGATGGAGCGTTTGCGGTGGTGACCTCTTTGAACACCTTGTCGCTTGAGAGATGTTGCATGACCCATCTGAACGGCTGGTGAGGATAGTGGCCTGGGTCGGCTTGCCCCCCGGCCACAAACCCCATCAGCAGGATTGCACAGAGACACTGTGCGAGTCTGGGTCTCACCGCCGTGGGACGCTCAGGCTCTGTCTGGTGGCTTGGTGGTCCGTTGTCTCCCTCTGGGGCAGGTGTGTGTGTGTCGCGGGGACGGTCCACGAGCGTGTCCTGCGAACGAAAACTCACAGTTTTCCATTAGTTTCATTCTTAAGGTCAGGTTTGATCGACCTGAGTGGACACCACCTGATCTTGCCCTCCTTTTTAACTGCCGCGTACCCCCGTCCCGTAAGCACCAGTCTCCAGCCCCGTTCCCACTCGCCTAGCTCGTTTTTGACCATGACCTGTGGGCCCTCTTCTAGTGTCTGGGTGGCCCAGTGTTTTCGAATGGGACTGTTTGCTTCATCTCCCCTAGGAAATTGGTTCAGTGCTAGCAGCGCGGTTGCTAGCATACGCGTGTGGTCTCCTGAGGGGATGGAATTGGCAAAGCCCTCTGCCTTTGCCAACACTTCTAACTTGGCTTTTAGGGTCTGATTTGCTCGCTCGACAATGGCCTGTCCGGTGCTGTTATATGGGATTCCCTGTGCTAAGGTGATACCCCACACTGAGGCGAATTCTCGCACTGATTTAGAGATAAAATTGGAAGCATTGTCAGTTTTAATTTGCTTGGGGATACCAAGCCATGCCATAACTGTCAGCCAGTGCTGGATCGTGGCCTTCGAGTTGGGTTTGAGATGCTGTGTCGCTATGATCACTCCGCTGTAGGTGTCCACTGTCACTGCAAGCCATGCTCGGGGCTTTAGCAGTTCGCAGAGGGTGAAGTCTGACTGCCAGATTTCTGATGCCTTGAGGCCTCTCGGGTTGACTCCACCGGTCCATAGGGGTGACTTCTGGCAGTGAGGGCAGGTGGCCACTACGTGCCTCGCGTCTGCTGTCGAGATCCCGCATCTTTTTGCCAGTGCTTTGGCCCCTATGTGGAGTGACTCGTGCAGCTGACGAGCTTCCTGCAGTGTCCACACTCCCTTCGCTGCGGCATCTGCTTTGTCGTTGCCAGTCTGGAAGAAGCCCTTGACTGGGTTATGGCTGTTGACGTGGATGACGGACACGGTGCCCTGGCGTGAGGAGAGTGCCTCTTCAAGCATGGAGGCCGTCGTGGATGTCGACACACCTGGTCTTGACATGGCTAGGCAGAGCTTTGCCACGAATATAGAGTCTGTCACGATGTTGAGGTGTTTGTCCTGGAAAAGTCCGCATGCCAAGACCACTGCTGCTGCTTCCAGCTGTTGCACTGACAGCGTGGGGTCACACGTTTTGACACAATGCCATGTTTCTCCTGCCTGCCACACTGCTGCTGCAGTAGAAGTCATGGAGGAGGCGTCTGTAAAGACCGTTGGTCCTGGTTGCGGTCGGTCCATGACCTTCGGTGGCACATCTATGTCGACGATGGTCAGTAGCTGGGTCCAGGGTGGTTTGGTGGCGTAGGAAATTTCTCCTCCGAAGCCGGTGAGAGCGAGGGCTAGGTGTTCCGATATTGCAGTTGACTCCGTGGTCGGTCGCTTGCGAAAGGGGAGGTGGATCCTTGCCGGCTCGGTTCCCAGGTGTCTCAGGGCGAGTCTCCTGCCTTTCGTGATGAGGTTAGCAATGCACTCAACTCCTGGGGAGAATGCGTGAGTTGGTCTTCCGAGGACCACCCACTGGATCGGCTGGGATTTTTCGGAAGGTCCTTGGGCAAGTGCTCCCACTCCTCCCTTCTGCGTGAAGTGGACGTATAAGTCCAGTGGTACGCCCGGGTTCCACCTGGCAAGCAGGCTGGTGGACATCTGACGTTCGATGAAGTCGAGGGATTTCGTTGCTTGCGGCGTCAGCTCCTTGTGGTCCCACGGGTGTTTTCCTTTCAGGAGGTCATACAGGGGGTCCATGACCTCTGGCGGAACTAGGATGATGTTGCGGAGCCACTGCAGAGATCCTACGAGTCGCTGCATGTCGTGGAGGGTCTTGATGTCTCGGCGGACTTTTATCTTGGGTGGGGTCACGTAGGAGTTTGTGATCCCCACTCCCAGGAAGGTCACGCACGGTCCTCTCTTGATCTTCGTGTTCGCGATCTCGAAGCCGTTGGCCTGGAGGGTTTCCGTGATCGTGGACACTAGGTGATCCACTTGGCTTGCTGACGGTGCGGCGACGAGGATGTCGTCCATGTACTGAATGATGGTCGCAGCAGGGTGGGAGTGTCGGACTGGCATCAGTGCCCTGTCCACGGTGATCTGGCATATGGTCGGGCTGTCCACAAGGCCTTGAGGTAGCACCTTCCATTGGAAGCGGAGGTTAGGTCGCTCGCCGTTCGGGAACACGACGGAGAAGGCGAACCGTTCTTTGTCCTCGGCATGCAGGGGTATTGAAAAGAAGCAGTCTTTGATGTCCAACACTGCGCACGGCTGCCCTTCGGGGATGGCTGAGTTCGCGGGCAGCAGTGTCTGAACTGGACCCATGGGCTGAATTGTTTTGTTTACCTCCCTCAGGTCGTGGACGAGGCGGTAGCCTTCTCCTGATCTCTTGGGGATTACAAACACAGGGGTGTTCCACGGGCTGGTGGAGGGTTCGATGTGGCCCTTTTGTAGCTCGCGGTCGACCAGTTCCAGCAAGGCTGTCATTCGAGGCTTTGACAGGGGCCACTGCTCGACCCATACGGGGTCTGGTGATTTCCAAGTGAGTTTGATTGGCAGCAGTGGGTGCACAGCAGTGGCCCTCATCATAAATTTGTAATCCTGACTCCTAGCATGGCGAGAACGTCCCTTCCTATCAGGGGTGGGGAGTTTTGCAAGATATAGGGGTGGATTGCTACTGTTTGTTCTGGTCCTTTCTTTGTATGGAGCGTTATAGCTACCAATTGGGTGCTTTTCCAAGCCCGGGACAGCCCCCCCACCCCGTTCACTGGGGATACTTCCTTGTACGGCCAGTGTCGGGACCACAGGGCTTGGGGTAGGATTGTGCAGTCTGCTCCTGTTCTGAGGCGCCCCCTGCTGACCCTGTGGCACAGGCGCTGCTTGCGGTGGCGGTGGGTACGAAGGCGCCGCAGGCTGTGCCGTGATACTCGCTGGCAGGGGTATGAAGTTGGTTGCTTCCTGTGGGAGAATGGGGTACGAGGGCTCCCCGCCCCATTGGGGGTTGGCATGGATGGGCCGCCTCATATTCGCAGCGGGAGGGGGCTGGGTGCGGCCCGCTGGCCCTCTCCCCTTTCCGTTTCCCTGGAGCCGGGATCTGCATTCCCTAGCCAGATGTCCCTTCCTCCCGCAGCCCCAGCAGGATCCCCGCGGGCGCGTTTGGGGCGGAGGCGCTGCGGCGGGCCGCCGTGCCGGCTGTGGGCAGCTCACCGCGATGTGACCTGCCTCACCGCACTTGAAACACGCCATGGCACTGGTCAGGGTGTGGATGGCCGCCTGAATGGGTGTCAGGTGCTCTTCCCTTACTACATGTCTGATCATGTCCGCCAGGCTAGCCCCGGCTGGCAGGGAACGTAAGATATCCTTAGTGACGGAGTTGCACTGCTGACGCAGGCAGTCGGCCACCACGGGGCCCCTTGCCTCTGTCGGCAGGGTAGAGGAATCTATCGCTGCCTGCAGGCGATCCACAAACTGTGTGAAGCTTTCGCTCTCTGCCTGCCTCACGGTGGACCATGGTGCCGGCTTAGCCACGACTCGGGAGGCGGCGTAAATTGCCTCTCTAGCAGCCCGAGTGGTCGCTCTGACCTCCTCAGCCTGCATCTGTGCGGCTTGCTGCTGTGGTGTGATCATATCATCATGCTTTCCTATCAGTCTGGAAAAGCTCGACCTGTGTAGGGGCTGCCGCGCGCCGGACGCCTGGGCTAGCTGCTTTCTGCAATTATCCTCCCACTCCTGCCTAAAGACGATCATTCCCGCTCCGTCTAATAACATACGCCCTATCCGTTCAATATCAAAGGGAAGCAAATCATCATTGCTAAAAAGACCATCTATTAACGTAGTAACCATAGCCGAGTTGATCCCCTTTTCCGCAATGGCTTTGACAATTGACTGTATATCTTTTGGGTTTATCGGGGTATAGACCCTTTGTTGGTTCCCTTCCGGACCGGTAAGCAGGACTGGGAAAGCTTGTATGGCGGCCGCCGGGGACCATTCCGCACAAGCTATCTTTATTTTCCCCCAGTCAGTAAACTGGGCTGATTCGTATTGTATTTGTTTTTCGGCGCGGCTTAGAGCTTTACCCGGCTTTGTTTCAAGCCGTGCCGGCTCCGTTTCGTCTGAATCGGAGCCATCGCTAGCTTCCGTCAGCTCCTCTGAGCTGCTGGAGCTGTTGCTGCTCTCTGAGGCGGAAGACGAGTGCCAGCGTACTTCCGGGGCTCCCTGCCGTTTTGTTCGGCCCCGGGCTCGCTCCCCCCCTCGGGGGAGGGGCCGTTCCCGCCCCCCCGGCTCGCCGCGCCCCTCGCGGGGGGTGGTTTTTCCCTTATATGGTGGCGGCTCCCGGCGCAGCTGCCGATCGGTTCTGTGTCCCGCGCCGCCCTCCGCCCCTTTCTCCCGCGCGCGCGCATTCCCGAGATCGCGCTCCCCCCCTCGGGTGTTCGCGCCGGGACCGCCCGAGCCCCGCCCCTCTCCCTCGCTCCCGGCGCCATTTTCAAACGGGTAGGGAGGCGGCGTGGCCACGCCGTCTTCCCAAACCGCCGTTTCGGCGGCTCTGGCTTCTTTTAGCAGCCTTTGCCAGAAGCGCTCCGCGTGCTCTTGCGTCTCCGGTATCGGATCGCGGGCGGGCGGCGGCGGCGGCTCGGAGGAATTTGCGGTCTCTCGGGGGGTTTGCGCGGGGGGGGGTTTTTGGGGATTTTCGGCGGCGGGGGTGTCGCGGGGGGTTCCTGCGGGGGGGGGTGGGCTCTGATCTGGGGGAGCGGGTGTCGCGCTGAGCCCCCCTGGGTCCCCGCTGCCGAGCGAATCGCTCTCAGGGACAGTCTGCGTCCCCGCCCCCACCCCGAGTTTAGGAGTAACTAATAAACACGTGCGCGCCGCGCTCCATGTCTCCTGCTCCTCTATCGCTTTGCGTAGGGCTTTTTCTACTTTGCCCCACGCTTTAAGATATCTGCCGCTGCCGGAAGATTTTGTGTCTTCGGCTAGCGCGGCAGTGCATTTGTCCCATATTTCCGGATGTAATACATCCACGGGACGCTCAATCGCCCCAAGCTCAAGCAATCTCGCCATGGCAAGATGAAAATCCTTGAGCTTACACCCAATACCCCACTGTGAATAAATAGCACTCACGATCCTTGCCATTGCGTCCATGACGCCCGCGGATCCTAGGGGACGTCTCCCCTTACGCCTGGGTACGGTCCCGCCGTCCTGGCCGCTGCTTCTGTCCAGGTGAAACCCGTCCGCCGGGCAAATTTTTCTTCTTTTGTCCTGGGTTTCCGGCACCAGTATGTTGTCTTTATGAAAGACAACCAGGAGCCTGGTTCAGATAAGGCAGCACGGCGGCCTGGTCTCGTCCAAGCCACTCGGGCTAATCAACGCACGCATACACCAATATGGCAGACGGTTGAAAAGCGTTTATTATCCTATTTCGTGGGTTTATATAGGTTTAGGAGTCTTTGCTACGTCAGAGGGGGGTTTGGGGTCTCGGAGGATAGTGGGTAGTGGAATTTTACCAGAACAGGTGTGGCTACATTCTTTTCTGACTCCTGGGGTAGCAGATAAGCAGGGGAGAGAGAAGGGGGGAAGGGGCCTATCTTTCCGTGACATTCCGGTAATCTTCCGCTTCGCCTGTCCCTATCTTACCACACCCATGTAATGAGAGAAGCCTTGCTAGGTCCTAGAAAACAGAGGAACTATAAGGCAAACAAACATACACCTTTCCCTCTCTGTGAAACAGAATGAAGTCTAGATTATTTTCTATTCTGGTTGTCAAAGATTGTCCTTACCATGTGTAAGGACTTACAGTTACTGCACAGAATCTATATCATAGGTAAGAAGACATGGTTTTTCCATCAGCAACACAGTTTATTACATGAAAGAGAGCAAAAAATAAAAGAAATAGTACTGGGTAGCACTTTCTTGTAGTAACAAAATTATGCTAAAACAATAGAAGGTAAAGGTGTAAGAAAATGTCTTAGCAATGAACGGATTAATAATCCCCATAGTTGTTCTTTCAAAAACTCCCTATCCAGTTATTTTACAGAGGTCTTTATAAGGACACAGAAACCTGTTCCGGGTGAGGTACTAATCCCAGGGTAGTATGACAGCTTTCAACAGCCACAGGACCAAAGCTACCACCAAAACAAGGCAGTCACACTTACCTTGTCTGTGATACTCTTCTGGGGTCAGCTTATGGGCTCTGCTTTCCTGAACTTCTATCTGCATTTGTGCCTTGCTATGCTGCTCAGAGCTGCTAGTCATTAAACTGTGGTTTAAGGAGAGGAGACAATGAAAGACCATGGCCTTTATCATCCAGAGATGAGCAGTGCTCTACATGGAACTGCTTCATGTTGGGAATCAATTAAAGGTTTGTGGTTTTGAGGGAAGTGGTGAAAGAAGATATTGAGGAAGTAGAGAACAAGGCAAATACCATTTCACATTCCCTCAGATCTGGTGGGATTTCCAATCCCTCTCATTGTGACTTGTGTTGACACCTCAGTGGTATCTCCCAATGCTCTGTTCTTGGCAGACTTCTTCGGACTGGCTTGGGTGGCTTCCTCCTAGCTTGTTGACTGGCTCCTACACTATGCTCTCTGCAGCTTAATCACATGCTGTCAGACACTAATGGGGATGCTAATGAACTAATTATCATCTATTGGTAGCTGATCTTCCTGGGAATGCAAGTGGAGCTGCTCTTCACCTATGTCTCTAGAAAAGTCTCTGCTCCCAACCTAATCAGAGATTTTCACCTGTTTTTTTCTTTTTGGTAAAAACAAAGCTGGGAAGAGATACACTGCACAGTCCTTCTCACATCACAGATCTCAGTAATGTGCATTCTTCAGCGGGACAGACAGCTGTGGGGAAGAGAAACAGAGGATCAGCCACTTGAGTACAGCCATGCTGTATTTATTTTAGGATGATTTATTCCATAAATCATCCTAAAACATTGGGCTTGATCCCAATGGTAACAAGCTTTAGGGGAATTCCTCTTGCCTACTGGCCACAGCAAGAATAATGAACTAAAAGCCTCATAGATTAGATACAACAGAAAAATCAATTGAATGTAAAAGAACTTTTTAAAAAAATGATTCTGGGTTTTAGTCTTTAGGCAAGATGCAGCTTGTCCAAAAAAGCAAAAATTGAAATGGATATTATCTTCAAGGGAATACTGGTACTTCTGTAATAAGACATGTTTACTAGACAGTCTGGATGTTAAAATTAAAAGAGCTCTGGCTAATTCAGAAAATAGGAAACATGCACAAGGCCTACAAATGAACTGTATCTCTGCAAAGATAAAAATCAGCATATGGTATAGAGCTGCCAAATTCCAGTGTGTGATATGTGCTGCGGAAGAAGACACCAGATATGCCAGCCGCCAGTCCCTGGTATGCTATTTCCATCTATAGCAGAAATGGAGAGATTTCCCTTGGTTAAAATGGATTTTAAGTCTGTCCCAGAATCCATTGGGATATCTAGGATAGTCTGCTAGGAATGTTAAAATGAAGAATTGGAATGAAAGAGCAGAAAGAACAGGAAGTAAAAACGGTTGGAAAACACACGAAAGGGAAGGCAGGAAGAGACAATTACTGCATTTCACAATATGTATGCAACCAAGAGATACACCACACAAAAATAAGTGAAAAAAGGCTACATAAGGAAGGAAGAGAACATTTCTATTCTCCTCTCTCTCTGCTTTCTGAGAATATCAGAGGGACAAGGCATTAGTCCTATTAAAACTTCTGGTTGTAGAATGGACACATGTTGTATGTCCCCACTTGAGGGAACAGTCAAAGAATGACTGTGTGGGCTTTGCATCTGTTTGAACAACTGATAGTTTGATAAGAAACACTGAAGATGCCCAGCCAGCTATGTGATTGCTTTCAGGTCAGGGAAGACAGAAAAAAAAAAAAAAAGTAATGCGTTTTAGTGTACTTGCCATTTTCTTGCGTGTTATGCACTTCTGCATAACAGTCTCAGATAGGACTGAAATTTGTTAAAAATGTGCTCCTGTCTCCTATGTTGTAGTGTCCTATCAATCTTCATGGCAGTTGGGATTTCAATCAGATGTTTGCCATATGACTTTGAGAAAAGGACAGTCCAAACCCAGGATTTTTAAAGGAGATTTTACAGAAACTTCAGGAACTGTTACTTTAAAATCATCTCTAGTTATCTGCAAAGAAAGGGTGTGAATAAAATGAAAATAGTAAATAATATTTTAAACACTAGATTTTAATATTACTAAATAAAATTCTATTTTTCCGTGTGATTGGATTTTTTACTGATTTACTTTTTTACTGAAATAAAATGGGCAGGTAGGGAATTGGTAAAGCTGCATGGTACTAGAGATCAGTTCTTTGGTCTATCATTTACTTCATGCACAGCCATACACAAACAACATTACAATATCTGTCCTTTGGTTTCCCTATGAGGTATGTAATAGGTATTTCTATTAATATCATCATGATTTCTTTAAAGGAGTGAGATGAGACTTAAGTAACACTAAGAATTTTAAGATCTACTGAGAGTAAATGCTAAAAAAATGTCAAGTGCTGTTGTTACAGTAAATGGGTTTTCAGAGAAGACAATCAACAAGCTGAGAGGAAACAGTAAATTATAAACCTCTTGAATGAATGGCCTGACTTCTGTAGATACAATTCATCCAAATAAGCTGGGACTATTTATTTGCTTTCTCTTGTGTTAGGATCACACCTCATCCTTGCGGCTGCACAAGTTATTCCAGACTCCATTAGCTGCACGGACCAAGGGTGGGGGGAGAGGGGGAGCTGTGCAGCCTCATCCCATGTCACACAAGCCAGCCACATGCCAGCTGAGCTATCTGAGCAGCTGATGTCCTTCCATCTGCATTGGGAAATCTGTGTTTCCTCTCTGCATTGAAGCTGTGGGGAGAAATAACTGGGGGAAAGTTCCAAAGGTCAGGATTGTGTGGCTTTTATCTCCTTCTTGCATAACACATTATGTGAGTGTCTGAAACATCGAGTTAGGACTTATCTTGAATTTAATGATGCTATTGCCCTGTTCCACAGCAAACTGCAGGAATCACTAATTACATCTCTTAGAGGCCAAGCTATTCAGCTTACATCAAAAGAGAGACTGGAAAAAAATAATTACTGTTAACAAGTGAACTGAAACTATTATGCAAACTTCCCCAGTGAGCAAAAGCTGCAAGCCATAATCTGAATGAGATGGAGGATAATAAACAGCAAATGCTGTTAGAGCATTTGTCCTTCTTTTAAAAACAACAACAAAACAAACCAAACAAAAATCTGAGATGACAGTGCAAAAAATGCAAACAGAGATTTCTGTCCTAGGGTCACAAAGATAAATGGGGATGTTGATGAGACACTGCTCTCTGCAAAGCCTCTGAGTTGAAGGAACAAATTACATTATTGCCATCATCCAAGCTGGTTGAAGACCAGTTCAAAGTCTGCTTTCCCTTTTCCACGCTATCTGCTTCCAGCTGGCCCTGTCAGCTCAGATGTTTTGAAGAAAATTCTCCTCCTTCTCTGGTGAGGAGTGAATGTGTGCTGTAAAGACTGGCCTGAAATAAAACTGGGCCATCTGCCAAACTTGGTTTCAGAGCTCTAAGTTGTCCTAAAATAAACACATTTACCTTTCCCACATGGTAAGAGTCCATCCCATTACTGTTTTCATCCTTTCCACCTCTCCCATGTTCTCTTCGCTCACCTCCAATGTGCCACTACCTGCTTCCCAAGCCTCACCAAGATATTTATAGGGCAGTGCTGATCCTAACATGGGCTCAATGTTGGCATGGGGCACTGCAGAAGAGATCTGGGAGCTGCAAACCCACCACATCCCACAAGAACACATCTGTTGCTCCAGCATCACTACCAACTTGTTCTACAGTGCATATCAAGCTGTCTTTCCTTCCAAGGGAAAGGGATCTTCAATTATCTTCAGTTAAATTCTCCAAGCAGTGGTTGCTGCTTGATAGAATGAAGGATCTGGTATGTGGTAGGGTCCTTATAAGCACAAGGCTAAAATAGCCAGTGGATCTGCTGAGGCTGGATCTAACTGTAAGCCTAAGTCTTGTTCTTTTGTTTACTTAATGAGGATATTGCAGTCAATTTTTGGCATAAGAAAAGATTTTTTTGACATCTACG